GACAATTGTCACCTATCTATGATACATCCTCACTGAATTTTAAATTTAAGATGTTTAGAAAATATATTTTTAGCTATTTCCTTTAAAAAAATTTGAAAAAGTTCAAAAATAGCGATTATGACAATTGTCACCTATCTATGGTACATCTTCACTGAAATTTTGATTTAACATGTCTACAATATATATTTTTATCTATTTCATTTAAAAAAGTTCAAAAATAACCATCATAACAAATGGCTCTTTTCTATGGTACATCTTTACTTAAAAATTTTAAAAAATAACTTTGATGGAATAGTTAATCCAGAGCGTTATAATTTAAATAAGCTTTAAGAAACTTTCCCGCCTATAATATTAATATCTACTAAATGTTATTTGACTTTTGGTCGAAAAAAATGATCTAGATATTTGGTTAGGTGAAAAAAAGCAACCCTAACTTTAAGGCGTCTTTAAAAAAAACGATCCATATTTTGGGTCGGATTGAATAAAACGACCCGATGTTTGAGTCTGAGTCAGAAAAACGACCCAAACTTTGAGTTGGAGTTGAAAAATACGATCTAAACTTCAAGTTGGAGTCGAAAAATACGACCCAAACTTCTAGTTTGAGTCGAAAAATACGACCCAAACTTCAAATTTGAGTCGAAAAATACGACCCTAACTTCAAGTTTGAGTCGAAAAATACGACCCAAATTTCAAGTTTGAGTCGAAAAATACAACCCAAATTTTGAGTCGGAGTCGTAAAAAACGACCCATATTTTGGGTTGAAGTCGTTTTTTTCGGCTTGAACTCGGGTCGAAGTCGAAAAAAACGACCCAAACATTGAGTCGGAGTCGAATAAAACGACCCGAGCTTTGGGTCGGGGTCGCGACTCGCGGCGTTTTAACAACACTATAACCCATATTTAAAATTCAAAAATCTTAAAGCACCTCTATTTTAAATTTTATTTAATATGATTTCCATCACATTTTAAAATTTTGATATTTCTAATACATGCTCACAGTATACATAACAATTTTACCTCTTTTACTCTTAAATTTTAATATTTATATAAAATTTATTAATAAAGTATATTTAATACCATACACACAAACTAAATAATTACCCTTCAACATCTATATAATTAATATTTTAAATTTAATTATGTTCAAATTGGTGCATGCGTGAAACTTTAATATATATATAATTAATATTTTACATTTATTTATACTCAAGTTGGTGCATGCGGTAAAGCATATGCCTGATCCTCGTAGAGGGCAAAAAATTAACATTACACTATATAGTCTCCTTAAATTTAAAATACATTGGGGTGATACGAAAACTATCGTGTTTTGATTATGGAGATAAAATTAACATTACACTATATAGTCTCCTTAAATTTAAAATACATTAGGGAGATACGAAAACGATTTTCAGGCAATGTGTTATTTTTTCACTTGAAATCATTTTTTTAGTGGCTTTTTAAAAATCTAATTTTACCGGAAATGTATGATGTTTAGAATCTACCCTATGAATTTCAGACAAATTTTCCAAGAGCCTTTAAACTTATTATAATTTATATTAAAATTTCCATTTTTTTAATAGAAATGATAAATGACTCAAATGCTAACAGCAAAATTGTCTACAATTCAATAGAAATTCCAATTATGATAGAATATATTTCCGGTAAAATCCGATTTTTAAATTTAAAAAAACGCGTATAAAAAATGATTTAAAGTTGTAAAAATAACACATTGCCAGAATAAACATATTAACGCTACGCTAGCATATACATTTAAAAAACAATCTACATTAATACAAAGTGATACTCCTTATAAAATGAAAATCAATTTATACAAATTAATCATTAAATATATTATTAACAATAACCAATAAAATAAATAATAATAATATTATCCACCTGGCTTTTACGATTATCAAGGTGAAGCATGTAATAATATTATCGATTCTAAGAATAATTCCCCGGAAAAATAATTATCCAGAAAAAAAATCCCTGGAAAAAATTACCTCAGAAAATAATTCTCCTATTTTTTGATCCCTATAAAATATAAATTATTTTTAGAAAATTAAACAAACTAAGATTTTGTAATAACATTTCGGGAGTTGGAATTTTTCAAATAAAATAAGTTTCTATTTTAAGTTTTTTAAATGAATTTAATATATTTATAAAATGATAATATTTATAAAAATAAATATGAATATTTTTTAGAATAAATAGTATATTTTTTAGAATAAATAGTATATTTTTTGGTAGCGTTTAATTATTTGAAAGTAGTCTTTGGATTAAGGTCTTCAACCATTTTTAAAATAAGCCCTTGTAATCAGCATTTGGATTAATACTTTTTTGAAAATTTATAATTAGATACAATTTTTAAAATCAATATGTATTAACATAAAAATTTCCATTTTGTTATTTTTGTCCGGGATTCAAACTGATATAAACGTACGGAACAGAATAATAGTGTTCTAATATTCATATTTAATGTTATATATATTTTTAACCTTAGTGGCGTGTAGGTTTAAAATACCTACCCCCCTCTTTATGGTAAATATAATGTGGTTAAATGATCTATTTTCATAATATTTATTGAAATGTAGATGAAAAGCAGATTATGGAAATAATCTCCCTCTTTCTAGGAAAAAAAAATTTGTTTTCACTTGTTTTTTCAATTTTAAATTGCAACCATAATTTTCATCTATTTCTATAAAATATCATGTTTTCTTTTCAAGATGTCACAAATTATACTTGTAGTGCTATCTACTAAATTATAAAGTATCATAGCTACCAACCGATTTATCAATTCTCATATTTTAAGATTGCCCTTTATCGCTTAGAATTAAAACAGAAATAATGCTCAAAAATAAATCCAGAAACATCGAGAATAAATACTCAACTTTCATAAAATACTAAATATAATTTTTTAGAAATATTTTTGTTATTTTAGCGGGAGGGTTATTTTTGATAATTTAAAAAAAATTTATTCGGAGAATTTATTTCCGGGGAATATTTTTTTATGGGAATTTTATTCCTGGGGAATTTATTTCGGGGATTTTTTTTCCGGTTTCTTTTCCGGGGAATTATTTTCCGCTTACCAAAAATATTATTTAATCTAAAAAATATTCATATTTATTTTTATAAATATTATCATTTTAAATATATTTAATTCATTTAAAAAACACAGGAGTGACTATAATCTTAAAATAGAAACTTATTTTATTTGAAAAATTTCCCAACTCCGAAAATGTTATTACAAAATCCTAGTTTGTTTAACTTTCTAAAAATTATTTTATATTTTATAGGGATCAAAAAATAGGGGAATTATTTTCCTAGGGAAATTTTTCCGGGGATTTTTTTTCTGGATAATTATTTTCTGGGGAATTTTTATACGGTGAATTTTTTTCCGGGGATTAATCTTCTGGGAATTTTTTTTCCGAGGATTTATTTTCCTAGATTCGATAATATTATTATTATTTGCTTCACCTTAATTATCGTAAATTCTTCGTAAGCCAGGTGGATAGGGAAATTTTTTCCGGGGATTTATTTTCCAGGGGATATTTTTTCCGTGGAATTTTTCCGCTTACTAATATTATCCACCAAGCTTACTAAGTATTTACATAATTAAGGCATGTTGAGGTTTATCGAAGGATCTTTGGGTCAGCACAAATTCGAAAAGGACCAAATAAAGTCCTAGTTACCTTAACAATTTATTTATAAAATTATGCAATATATATATTCTAGTATTAAAATAAAAAATACTTTTTATCCTTAGAAAACATAAGTCAATTATTAAAAAATTACTAAAATTTCTAGACCTTTTACAGAATAAATTTAAATTCCTGATAACGAAATATAGATAAAATCGATTTTCACGAAACTTCAGATAAACGTTCTTTTACCTTTATATGAGCATTAAAAAAATTAGATACAAATTTATAAGCAAAATGGATAAAAACTAGTAAAAAATGAAAAAATATTTTTCTATTATAGATGGCTCTTATTTTTTATAAGCCTAATATTCTTAGTGTATTGTATTTTTTACAATTATTTCTATATAATAACTACTCTACGATGTTTATAGAAGAACTATTTTTATACTATGTATACTATTTTATTATGTATTTCTTTTATATTATAATTAGGGCTGTGCCGATCCCCATATTTTCCACCTATCCGATCTGATATTAGTTCAAAACCTATCCGATATTTATATTGATTTTTCATCACCCCCTTCGAACCAAATGTAATTAAAAATCAATTTTTTATGCAAAAAATCGAATTATGCATTTAATTTAATTTTTCTTCTACAATAATTAAAAATGGTTTACAGATATTGGTAGTATTAAATGAATTTTTCATTATTCATTCCCGTGAAATAAAATTCCGCAGATAACGCATTTTGCAAAATTATCTTTGTCTTTAGTAAAATATTTTCATAATACAGATACCATATTTATAAAAATTCTTTAATTTAAAGTATAAATAATAAAATTAGCGTTATTATTTAAAAAGATTTAAAATAAATAAAACTTTGGGTGTTCCTTTCTATTTTTATAAAAAAACTTTTAAAATATTATTAATCTATTTTAAAAAATAAATAAAATTTAAGGGGTGTTGTGCATTTGCATTGTTTAAAAAAAAATTATTTAGAAAATATTACTAATGTAAAATGAATATATATAAAATAAAAAAAAAGTAAAGTAAAAAAATCGGATCGGGGTTTTTACAGGTAGCGACCCGATCCGATATTTCTGGAAATCGCTAAATATCGGTGCCGATCCAATATTTAATATCGGTACAGCCCTAATTATAATTATGTTTTTATAAAATAAATTATATACGCAACGTCATTTTTACATAAATATCGATTAAATTTTAATTTTTTTAAATTCGATATTTATTCTTGCATATGTGTTAAAAGATCATCAAAAAAATATTAATTAAATTCTTTTTTCCTAAATAAAATAAAACAAAATATTATACATATTATAATAAGCGAGTAAATATTCTTAACCATCAATGGCGGAATTTTTTTTAAAGATTCAATATGAATGAAAAGATTTGCTATAGCTGCCGATTAAAGCTCACATAAATTAACTATTGGCATAGATGTATTGAATCAATCAACACAACAATTATGAATTTAAAGAATCTCCCTTAAAAAACGTGGCTATCGGAAAAATAATAACCCCCTAAAAAATTGATCTAGACATTCCAACTAGCTTAAATATTAAGTGGACAGAATTGAATCCAAAAGAAAATATAGATAATAATGGAAAACATAATAAAAACAGTATCGAGTTTAATTCATGACGCAAGGTGAGTATGATGCATAGGAAATTAACTTTAGACAATGATTTTTGAAAACAGGACCAATTCCAGGAGCACAAAAGATACATGCAGTAATTTCTCTGGGAGCTTTTTCATGTCGTACGCGATAGAAACTTCAATAGAAAATATGGAGTATGGAAACGAAAGTATTACATTTGTAAATATATCGAGATATGTGACATGCATATATGACTCAAATTGGTGGTTGGCTTTGGTCATGGAAAAGAATGAAAAAAGGAGAAAGTGTTTTTGAAATCTTTACGCCTTTCTTTTACATTTCCAGGAATAGATGACACTCATTACCTACTTAAGTCTCAAATTTTAACCAGTTTCACCATCAACTCCTACAGGACGTACTCACACATCTTCCTCGCATGAAAGTTTGCATGCTACGATTATTTAAATATATATATGTTTTCTAATTCATGTTCAATTTTTTAGGAAGAATGACAATGTAACAAGTGTTATATTATGAAAAAATGAAAAATTTATTATTAACACCCATATTTTTATTATATAGAATCATAAATGTTAATATGATATTATATAAAATTTAATATAAATAAATTCTTAATAAAATATAGCATAGCATACATAGTATAAAAGTAGTTCTGCTGAGAAACGTCATAGAGAAGTTATTATGTATAAATAATCGTAAAAATACATGATTAAGAATGGGCTTATAAAAATTAAACGCCTTCTATAGTATAAAAATATTTTTTTCATTTTTTACTGGTTTTTATTTTACTTATGAAATTGTATCGCACTCTAATATTTTTCATACTCTAGAAAAAGTTTCATAAGAATTGATTTCAATTTTAGTTAGCAGGATTTTAAATTTTATTTTGGGAATAAGAGGTCTAGAAAATCTTAAGAGTAATTTTTTACTTATATTTTCTAAAGATAAAAAGTATATTCTTTATTTTAATAGATTTGTTATATAAAATTGCGTAATTTTTAATTATTTATTAAATTAATGAAGACACTCGCAAAAAAGGGCAATTTTTCATGATTTAACCGTAAATATCTTCAAAAGTTTAAAAGCTAGGAGGCTAAAATTTTACTTGCCCAAATATAGATTACAATCTTAGTTTTATACGAATTTTAATCAAAATTGAAAGGGATCAGCCGAGAGTCGTATTTTTTAGATCGATTTGACATAGAATGACCCTTATTACTATATTATAGACTCTATATCTACTAATTTAATTTTTATTACTTGTTTACATCATAAAAATATGAATCTCAACTCAATTAATAGAGTATAAAAGTAAAATTTTTACCTAAGCAATTGCAGATTACTATGGGATTTGTAGTGTACCTAGGCATTTGCAGTTTAGTCAACCCGTTATAATTATAATTAAAAAAATTATTTTATATCAATTTTTCTTAATTTATTAAAAAGTTAAAAAAAAATTAAATAGAAATTTGTTATTTTATGTAAACTGTTTAATTTTTTTAGTATCAAATTATTGAATGTTGAAATATATTTAAATAAGGGCAAATTGAGATAATTATAGAGATCCTTCCTTAAATAAAAATAATTATTGAGTTTATTATATTAAAAAATTCAAGATAATGGAGTATATAAAATTATTTTTAAATTTATCAATTAAAATTTTTTATTTAAAAATAAAATATTAATAATTATTTAAATTACAAGCAAAAAAGAAAATTGATTTAAATTGTGATTTTTATTCAAAAATCATTTTGATTGAATCATGTCAACCCTAAGTTTAAAATGGTTGTCGAAATTTCAACCCTACTCATAAAAATATTTTGCACAATTGCCCGGCTTGAAAATCATTTACTAACCAGTGCATATCAAAATTTTTCTCACCTTTTTTTTTATAAACTTAAATCAATTTAATTATATAATAAATCTTAAATATTATTAAATATTTTTTATATAATTTATTACCAAATATGCATCAAGTCATTTCAAGGGAGTCAAGGAAGAGCTTATCTATTCAACTCAGTGTAAGTCCTTATTATTATTATTAATCTAAACTTATCCAACAATGTTATTGCATGAAAAGTTTATATAATTTATTATCGATTATCATTTTGACGACCTAACCTACTTGTATAAATATGTCAATAATCATTTATTTATATTGGGTTTGCAATTATTTATATAATAGTGAGTGTTATTTTACATTTGAAATATAAGTGTCTATAAGTATCATTTTCTCAAAAGTAACTAGTTATAATTACTAATTAAGATTTTATATTAGTTGTATTTTTTTCAAAGTTAACTCATTCATCTACAGTTACTTAATTATTATTTAAATAACTTGGATGTAGAAAATAATAACAAATATTTATTTTTTTGTACACAAAAACGAGGGAAAATAAGCCTACATATTTTATCGAAATTTTAAAAATTAATTTTTAAAAGAAAATACAATAATAATGAAAATTTACATGATTAAAAGAAAAAAATAATGCTTTTTTATACAATATATTATTCTAAATGATTGCGATTAAAAACATTATTATTCAAATTAATTTTTTTTATTTTATTTGTGTATTATTGGAATCAGGATTGCCAGATTCATTCAAACAAAAATTTGGAGAATTTAATTAAAATTTAAAAAAAGTGATTATTTTTTTATTTAAATGAATACATTTAAGGCTGTGTCCAAAGTATCAAAAAAATTTAATCGCACAATTTGCGCAAATCTAGCGAAAAAAAAATATAAGCCATTTTTAATGGAAAATTAAAATTTTGGCCTAAATCATTTTTTGGTATTTATAGAAATTTGAAAAAATCATTTAGGTCAACATTTTAATTTTCCATTAAAAATGGCTTATATTTTTTTTTTCGCTAGATTTGCGCAAATTGCGCGATTAAATTTTTTTGATACTTTGGACACAGCCTAATATGCAATAGTTAAAGGAAGATCGTATTCGTATATTATTTTTTAAATATAAAATTAATAGATTAGACGCAAAATATTAAAAAAAAAATAGTATATATTTTTATTTTCATTCATATTTTTCAGAAGATTTTATGTTATTGTTTATAATTTTATTTTTTGTTAAATATTCTCATATTCCTTTAAAATCTTTACAAGTATATTAAAATTATGTTTGATCATCAATTCCGCTTCTAAAGTTGATAAAGATATACGATAGTTGCCAGCATTAATATTCTGATTAAAAAATTAGAGAATCAATTTCAGCCCTCAGATATAGTATAGCTGATTTGGAATGTGGTTAAGCATCGTAAATGCCTGCAATCAATTTATGAGGCAGGCCATTTTTTTGATATTGATGATTCTGATCTATACCTTGAGATGAACCGTTTAATATCTCTGGAGATGTGGATAATTTAAATAGCCACCAACCGATCTAATTAAAAACCATTGGCATAGCATATTAATTATGCTAGAAAGTATCCGTAGTGTTAACAAGATTCCTTTCATTAATATTCTAAATAAACTGGGAAAACAATCCTTAAAACTATAACGAATTGGAGATATAATTGACGAACTGTACATATTAATAAATTTACTCAGAGAGTCAGTGGAATTTCTTTCCTCCTAAAAGGGATCAACAATAAATTTACGGTCATTTCGCAGAAATGATAACTTATATATAAATCAATAAATCTAATTGCCCAGATATCATCTGCCTAAATAAAATGTGCGAAAAAAGCTTGACCATAGGTTATCAATTACCGAACTTAAAGTATTTATTTCCTATTTGATCCGAGATTTTAAAATCTTAAAATTGTTTCAGAATATTTAAATTCGAATTCTGCAACATTATTACAATTTTTTATTAGACATTTAAAACTTAGAGCATTATAGAAAGGCACAGAATGAGATTCAAGTTGAAGATAATGGGCAAGCATCCTGTTCAAAGCTAGTAAAAATTTCCTCCAAGCTAGACTATAAAAAAATTAGCGATCTAGAACAAGAATGTTATTTTTTGCTCAACCAACATAATATTAGAATAGGATACACTAACTTTTTTGGAAAAAAGCAACTGGAACTTCCTAGACTTGTTAATTAGCTAGGAAGATTTTTTGTATACCAGCAACCAATACACCCAGCTTAGTAATTTTCCATTGCTGGATTAATACTCAATGCATAAAGGTTTATGAAATCTTGATAAATGACAATTACAATTTTTAAATCTGATTTCTAATTTATTATATTTCTTACTTTATATTTTGCTTGCATTCCAAATTTATATTTAATTTGTTTTAATAACAATTAATAGAATATATTAAAAGTGACTCTGATCTGAGTAAAAATGCAATTCCTTACGCTTTTTCTGAGAATGATAAAATACATAAATTTAAATAGGAGTGAGACAGGAAATAATTTAATAGATGAATTAAACTATATTAACAGCGCCTAAGTTAATTTTATAAAATGTAATACATTGAAATTCATTTTAAAAAGATGCGCCATGCGGATAAAAAATTTAAAAAGACAGCCGCCGTCAATTGAGGGTTCGGCGCACAGGTCTAATGATAATAAACATATTTCATGAGTTTCATCGTTTTAAATTTTTTCAAAATTATTTTTTTACCGGAAATGCAACGACATTGAAGATAATTTTTAAATAATTTTTGTTTTCTTAAGGAGAATCTTAAGTGCTACAAAATGATATATAATTTGACTTTTGTCCAAAAATATTTTGAGATTCGCTGGACTAGGAAAAGGTTCACATCGAACTTTGAAGTCTTATAACTCGGGATATATTTGAGCTGGAGCATTAAAATTTTGATTTGTATAAAAGATACCTGCTAATTAATTGATAGAATTACCATATAGCAATAATGCTCGCAGGAGTAGAAAATTTTTCTTTCTTAATTTTCTGTCATGTCCGAGTCGTTCTTAGGCTTTAATAATGTAATAAAGTGTTTTATTAACTCTCCCTTAAGAATTATCTTGCTACAATATTTCAAAAAAATTGAATTTTATTCTTCAACAAATTCAATATTTTATTTAAAAATCAAAACAGATACTTACCTTTACTTGGAGTTTATTATTCCATATATTTTTTTTGTTTTTTTCTATTATAATCACCAAAGTGTCAATGTAGTTTGTGGTGCCGCCGAAGAAAGAGTTTTATTGACGGGACTTCACGCTGTAGCGGATATATTTTGCGAATGTTGTAAAACTACTCTCGGTTGGAAATACGTAAGCCTTAAATTAATGAAAAATAGATTAAAATTGATTGATTTTGAACTAGGATTATTTCGATATATCGGAATTATCGGGGCCGTTGAATGGGATAGGCCTGATATTTAAAAACCTATCCTTTATTTTAAATAATAAAATAATCACGTAATCAACTAAGGCTACGATTCATTTATTAAAAGTTTACATACAATGGAGTCTGCTCTAATCAATATCATTGGCCCTTGCATGACGGACTTTAATGTATCTCAGAGACCTGCAGAGGTACCATTTTGTAGTCAGTATATTTTTTTAAAAAAATTTTCAGGCCCGGCCCGGGTAAATTAAAAAAAATTAAATACTCGGGCCGGGCCTGCAGGTCTCTGATGTATCTACATTGAATAAACTATCTGAAAATGGCATACGTGAGTTACATGATTAAACTAAATTTTTAAAATATTTTTAGGTCTGTACCAATATTAAATATCGATATCGCATCGGCACCGATATTGAACTTATAAAATTTTAACCGGTACCGATTTTTTACATATTTTTTTTATTCACATTTATTTTTGAACTAATTTCCCTTTCGCGAATAAATCTTTATAACTCAAAAAAGTGTGAAGGAAGGCGCGGGAAATTTTTAATATTATTTTTTTTAAATTAATTTTTTTTCGCAAGGTCTATAAGACGAGAGGCTGCACGAAAGGCTAAAAAATAATATTGAAAATAAAAAAACAAAGAAAATAATTAATAAAAAATTTGATTGATTTATTCAGGGGTTCGAACCCGAACCCGGGAGAACAAAACCTAGGTTTTTGGGGAAAAATTTAAACCCACACCGAACCTGAACCCCGTTTATGAAATTTTCAAAACCCCGAACCGAACCCGGGAATTTTATTTGAATCCGGGTTCAGTGTATTGTTTAAATTAATATAATATATTTGTATATAATTGTATATACAAATATTAATAATTTACTTAACAATTTATAATATTTTCAAATTTCCATTTAAGTGAAGTGTTAATAAATTTCAAACAACTTAATTCATTTACTCCATTTTAAAATTTATTCTCAAAGATTCCTATTGGATTGTTAATAAATTTTAAACAATTAAATTCATTTACGCCATTTATTTTTAATTTTTAACTTATTCTTAAAGATTATTAATTAGAGGAAAATGAAAGTGAACAAGTCAAAGTAAAAATGATTATATTCGATATTGTTAATTTAAAGAAATACGTCTAAATAAATTTTTTATATCTATACATGACCATGCTTTGTATTTTTAACTATATTTTTTGCCTATAAATAAAATAAAAAATTTATTTTTTATACCAAATTTATGTCTAGTTTTTTAATTATGATTTAAATATAGAATATTTTTTTTAATTAAAAAATTCTTAAACCCGAGCTGAACCCGAAGCCAAACCCGGGTTCAAAAATATTTCCCTGAACTTAACCCAAACCGAACCCACCTATTTTTTTAACCTTAAACCGAATCCGAACCCGGGCAAAAATTTTGCCGGGTTCGCATCTCTGGATTTATTGATTTCTTTACGAGAAATATATTATAACATTACATTATAATATATTTAAAAAATGGAAATTTTAAGATCTTTTCAATTTTTTTCTTTGATATAATTATAGCGGTTTTAATTTAGTTTAATTATATTAATTTTTAAATTAAATTTTTGATTAAATTATATTTGGTCATGAGTTTATAAAACAGTTTTAAAAATATGGAATTTTTGAAATTTATTTTTATTCTATTTAAATTTTTAAGTTTTTTTCACAACTAAATTGATAGTAAGTATAGAGATATTGTAAGCTGGATTAAGAAGTAAATGAAAAATATAAATTTAATGATATATTTTTTTCGTTTTTGGTTCGAAAATTTTTTTTGTCGCGAAAACATTCGGAGAGAAAAGGCTAACATTTTATTGTATTCAGAATTAAATTTATTATAGCTTAGATGTATTTTTTTAAGTTTTCGGTTCGAAAATTTTTTTTTGTCGAGAAATCATTCAGAGGGAAAAGGCTAACAATAGAACGTAATTTCAAATATTGTTATTTCATTGTATTCAGAATTAAATTTCCTATCTAAATGCTTAGACATATTTTTTACGCTTTCGGTTCGAAAAATATTTTTTTTGTCGCGAAAACATTAAGAGGGAAAAGGTTAACATTTTAAACGTAATTTCAAATATTTTTATATCATTGTACTCAGATTTAAATTTCTTATCTAAAAATGCTTAGATATATTTTTTTACGTTTTCGGTTCGAAATATGTTTTTTTGTCGCGAAAACGTTAAGAGGGAAAAGGCAAACATTTTAACCGTAATTTCAAATATTTTTATATGCAACTTAATATAAACGATATCAAAATAAAATAAAATATGAAATTTTTAAAAATTTAAAATAATTTGTATTTGTACAAATATATGACATATTTTATTATATTCTCTATATTAAATGTTAATTTTTAAATAATAATATTTTATCATATTTGTATATGAATTTTAATGAAAAATTGAAGTTTTTATATCATTATACTTTTTTTAAAAAATCTTAAATATTTCTATTTTATTTGAATAATGAAGAAAAAATATAATATATACATATATATATAATTAAAGTTTTAATTTATATTAATATAATATATAATAATAAACAGTAATAAGTAGAAAAAACAAAAAGAGAGGGGGGGGGGCGGTCACAAAAAGTATTGAGTTTAAAACAAATCATCTTGTGGGATGAGGCTGCCTATGAAGCTAATATAATTTGCCTTGTATATCACTATGGCGAGTCTTTGTCTTAAGAAGAAGCCTTCGCGAGGTTCACCCGTTAGTTGATGAACGTGAGAGCCAAGTTCCTTGAAAAAAGATAAGGCACATTTCCCAAAAGTTGTAAGGGTTGTGGAAATGATGGAAATGAAAAGGTATTTTTGAATCAAACATTTAATATTCTTGAGAAAAATGAGTCATTTAAAATCAGGGTTGTGCATTTGATTGGTCAATTACGTTTCGGTCAATTGACTGATATTTGACCGGTCAAATGTGGTCAAATTCAAATATATGTTTTTTTAAGTTAATATTAACTTTATTTTGAATATAATAGTAAAATGAATCTATAATATTAATTTTTTAAATTCATTGTCATTCATTAACTAACATGTAGCTATATTTAGCAGAGTCTTGTTCTGATTCATATTCAATATTAACATTTTCTATAATATTTTTTAATCAATTTTCCTGATGTCTTAGATCTTCAATCGATTTCTATTTTCATAAGAATATTAACCCAAATCGACCTATTTCTTTCTAAAGAAGAAGTAGAACTAGGAATTGTTAGTCTCTGGGCATGGTAGACAAAGTTTAATCTATTAACTTGAGGTCGGAATTGATTGTTTCTGGAAATTACTAATTTCCACATAATTTGCTATATTAAACATGCTGTTTTTGCTTCTGAAATTAATTATATCACTTAAAATATTTTGGTCATCACTACCTTGTAAAATAGCTAATTCTTGAATTATATCACATACTTCATTAATTTCACTGCTAGTGAGTTCTCCTCTTGATATTGTGGACCCAAATTAGCAAACATTGTGATCACATGTATTTACATCGTTTTTCCCTTTTTTAAACATATTTTTAATTCATTTTTCATTTAAATTTTTTAGAGTATTTGACCGTATTTGACAGGTCAAATACTCCTCCGGTCAATTGACTGAATTTGACTGGTCAATTGACCGACTTGCCAACCCTGCATAGCTAAATATTCTGAAATTTCTCATTGTACTTAAAATTAAATTTCCTATCTAAAAATGCTTAGATATATTTTATACGTTTCCGGTTCGAAAAAAATAGTTTTGTCGCGAAAACATTAAGAGGTAAAAGGCTTTAAACGTAAATCTGTGACTGTGTAAAGAAGTAAATAATAAAATTCAAAAATTCAAAAATTTAGAAAAGTTAAAAAATTATAATAAACAAATAAATATTTAAAAGGATTTTTAAAAAATTTCAATATACATTATAAGAAATGAAATTTTAAAAATATTCTCATATACAATATAAAAAACTACTCGGTTCAAAAAATATTTTTTTTGTCGCGAAAACTATCAGAGGAAAAAAAGGCTAACATTTTAAACGTAATTTCAAATATTTTTATATCATTGAACTCAGAATTAAATTCTCTATCTAAATACGCCTAGATTTATTTTTTTACGTTTCGGTTCAAAAAATATTTTTTTTGTCGCGAAAACTATCAGGGAAAAGGCTAATATTTTAAACATAATTTCTATAATTTTTATATCATTGAACTCACAATTAAATTCCCTATCTAAATACGCTTAGAAATATTTTTTTAATTATAGCATGGGTAGGGTATAAATTAGTGATCTGCATCGGACCTAATTTTTCAAGCCCGGCCCGAAATTTTTTTAAAAAAAGTTTTGCCGGCCCGAACCCAAAAAATTTAGCGACCTGGCCCGGCCCGAATTTATTTAAATATAAAAATTAATTTTTATAATTACTCAAAATAAAAGACATATGTTATATGTCGTTTAGTTTCAATAAATAAAATCAAATTTTATTTTCCATAAAAAATTCTATATAAAATTAATAAATTTAGATATATTTAAAAAAATTCCAAGGTTCGACCCGACCCGGCCCGAATTTTTTAAAAAATATTTGGCCCGGCCCGAACCCGTAACTTTGCAGATCTCTAATAAATAATATAAAATAATAATTTATAAAATTCAATATGATAATAAATAAAAAATATAAAAAATGAATCAATCCTTTTTTTATGTTATTTTTTTATAGCTGATTCCGATTATTTAATATCCATAGTCTTTTTTTTTTAAATTAATATTTTTAAAGTAGGTGTTATACTCAAAATGATTAAGCAACTTGTGAATGAGTTTTGCCTAAATAACAATTATTATCATCAGGAATACAATATTTTTGCAATTTCATAATGCGGGTAGAAAAAAAACACGATTCTGCCATACCGA